TTTGCTTGAAAGATAAATTTGATTATTTCGAATTTCTTTTCTTGAGTTTACCTAAAGACCACTTTAAACTCCCTGTGGATTCGATCCGGACGCGTATTGGAATTTATAATTGCAAAGACCATTTCATACTCTTTAGTTGGGCGTAAGGCTGGCATGTGGGCCGGTTAGGCCCGGGCCCGGCCCAGGCCCGCGAGCCCATATGGCTAGTGGGCCTAAACAGACCTAACCGTTTAAGCCCAGGAGTAGGGGAGGTGGGCCTGCTAAGTGGGCTGGTTCCTTGAAAAAGCCCGTTAGGATCGGGACCGTTTGGGCCCGGGACCGGGTGCTTAGTGGGCCGGTTCAAACGGTCCTAACCGGGCTCAAATGGACCTAATGGCTATTTTTCAAATTGCAACATTTAAAAAATGGCCGTTGTCCTGCAAAAATAGCCGTTTGGGCTTTCTAAAATAGCCATTCCCCCCTCCCCCATCCAACTTTGTTTTAACCCCAAACTTTTTATAATTACATTTTTTTCCTATTTTCAACTATAAATACCCCTTCATTCTTTCATTTTTCTCACAAAATCATCAATCTCTTTCATTTCTCAAACTCATATTGAAGTATTCAAGTCTTCAGTCATCTCTCATTTCTCAAACTCAAATTCTTAATTCAAGTTAAATCATGTCCGGTGATTCTAGAGTGCGCCTATTTGTTTTGGAATACTTTAATGTAGTAAAAAAAATGAAGAAGTTTACATAATAAAGTGCAAGAACTATGGTCGAGTCTACACTCATTGTCCAAAGTTGGAGGGCACAAGCTATTTAAGGAGGCATATAAAGAGTTGTCTTACCCGTTCTCCAGACATTCATATTTAAGATTTTAAGTTGATTTGAGACAATTTGTGTTATTTTAAAATTATTAGATGTATTATGCTTAATGTTTTAGTTTGTTAGATTAATTTGAAGTATTATGTTGAAGGCATTGAACTTTAATTTGAAGTATTAAATGTAAACTTTAATTTACAATTTTGATACCGAGTTCATCTTAATATATATATATATATACACACACACACACACACCTTAATATAGCTAATGTTATATCGAATATAGCTTATATACTATACACTTAGTATATCTATAATACTATACTATATATACATCTTATATAAGGCAATATACTATATAAGACAATTTCTTGTAAATTATCTAAGGCAATATATTTTGAGTTAAAATTTTTTAAATCACAACTATATAATATAATTTATAAGAAATTGCCTTAGATAAAAACTTTAAAAAAAAATAGGCCAGGTCCACTTAAGCCTACATAGGCACGGGACCGGCTCACTTATTCCGGGACCATTACTTCGTGGTCTCGGTTCTGGTTCGGTTACCTCCAAAAACCCACGAAGCTTGAGACCATTTAAGCCCCGGCCCACATAGGACTGGCCCATGACGCCCGGGCCCGACCCGTTTGTCACCCTTAGTTGGGCGTGAATTGGACATGATCATATATCAGAATGAAAAAAGAAAATTGAAGAGTGTTATAAAGCATATTCAGGTTCACATTGTGCACAGTCTTTTGGGCTTAATGACGATGTTAGTCAAAGTACAAAGTTGTGAGGTCTTTTAAGCCAAATTGGACAATACTTGTCATGAACCTAGATTAGTTAAAATATCCTCTTACTCTTAAAACATTATTTCTAAGTAACCACATTATCGTGACATGCTTCGAGCCATAATTAAGATATACTCAAGGTTATTTTTTACACTCAAGTAATTGAGGCGTACTTGTTATTATACTGTGTTCGAAAATAAATTTTGCAATGTTAAACAAAATCAAAAATAGAAGTTGAAGAATTAAAAGTTCTAAGCCAAACATAAAAATGTGTTTTCTTAAGAATTTAATCTCCTCATAATTGGTCAAGGTTTTCGATTAATTCTTACCAGGATCAAACGAAACATATTTTCTAATACTAACAATAGAAATTATAGAATTTCGGCGAACTCAACAAATAATAACAAATGACACTGACACTTACACTTACATTGTTGTCCTTTGAAATATGAAATATACAAAACAGAGGCGAGAGTATTTTTTTTTTAAAAATTTTTGGTGCGGAAAAATGGAGCCAAATCTCTGAATTTGTAGCCAATAAGTTGGGGCCTCAATAGGTGCAAAGATGTTTGTTCATGAAAAAAGGTATCTCTTCGGCATAAATAATTTCTGCTAATTTATTTGTTGGTCGCAAATACCGCCGTGAATTTTAAATTAAAATTTTGTGAGTTAATATCATAAAATAAAAATAAATAAATTTGGTCAAAAAAATTTATCAATCAATTCATTTAACCAAATTCAAATCGAGTATCGACAACGCGAAGCTTGCTCTTTTCTCAACTCTTTAAGAGTTAAAGAGTTAGAAGAAGTACTTTTACGTATAAACACAAGATTCTTTCCATTTTGCGACAAGAGACAAAGCTCAAAAGGAGCTGTTTCAAACTTTTTGTTTCCCTCCCATTTTTCCCCTCTAATTTCTATTAGCTCCTTAATTCAAACCCAACAGTACATAGGCACCCATGAGAAGCTTCAACTGCATCGTTAGNGCGAGGCCCGGCCCGTTAGGCCCACTAAGGCCCGGGCCCGGGACAAAATACAGCCCTAGTTAGACACCAATTACGCACTCAACCAAGTTTTTTGACTTGCTCAAACAAGAAATAATAATGAACAAAGAAAATAAAAAAGACAAGAAAAAGAAGGGCTTAGCAGTAGCTGCCCATAGTCTACGCACGAGGTTTGAATTTAGTGGCGTGCAAAGTCAGGACAGATATATCCGACTCAAATAAAGATATATTTCTATAAGTAAATTATTTTCAAAATTTAGGGATTTCATTGATGATAATAGAATATTAATCATGATTATGAGTGCATACAACCTATTCACATTTGAATTGTTTCTTCTAATTTTTATTTATTAATAATGTCCAACTTCACATCAAACAATTTAGTTGGATTTTTCATTAAACCTGAACTTGTGGCTTATATTTAATGTTTTATACCTTTGTTTTAACAAGAAAACATACCTTTATTTTCACACGTTTAACCTTCTTGCTTTCTTCCTTTTAGTATTAAAGTTTTGTATGAAAACTCACGCTTTATTCTCTATTGTTATATCATTTCGAGCGCAAAATTAAAAATACATCATATATATGTTTTGACATTTCATTTTTCCTCGAAAATAAAGGAAATAAGTTAGACTTTCCTTCTTATTTTATTATCTTCCTTCTTCTTGAGAGTACAAGACAATAGATAGTAGCATATTAGCAACAATGATTATTTCTCTTGCTCGACTAATAACTAAAAACAAGAAAGGCAGAAGTGAAAGGTTTATATCTTCTTTATACCGAAATTTCTAACACGCAAAAAATATTTATATGATAAAAAGGAGTATATTTTTAGTTGATTCCTCTAATCCCTGCAATTAGAGGGACGACAACATAGCTAGTACTATCAAAGAATAAAAAGAATGACTAGCTATGTGGGAAATAGTTTGATGATCAAGAGATCACCATTTAAATTACAATGTAAAGGATTCGAATTCAGAGCATTCTAATTGTTAGAGTCGTCAATATGGGCTTGGCCCGTTAGGCCGGCCCAACCCTATCCGTAATTTAATAGAATTGGGCTAACCCATTTAGAAATGAGGGGGAGAAATTCAAAAATAACCAGATTTACAACTGGTCGTTCAAAAATAGCTCAGTTTCCAAAAGTAATCGAAATTTAGCCACTTTTCATATAAAAATAAATCTGAGTGAAAATACTGTTCAAAATTCAAAAATACGCCAGTATATTATACTGGAGTTCCAGCATAAGTATGCTTGAACTCCAGCATATTATACTGGAGTTCCAGGATAAGTATGCTGGAACTCCAACATAATATGATGGAGTTCCAGCATAAGTACACTAGAGCTCCAGCATAATATACTGGAGTTCCAGCAAGTATAATTGTCCAGTATAATATACTGGAGTTTGGAGCACCGATGCTCTAGTCTCCAGTATATTATACTGGTGTCAGCAAAGTATACCGGTCCAGCATAATATGCAAGAGTTCATACACAGGTGCACTGAACTCCAGTATATTATGCTGGACCGGTCTCTGTTGCAGCAAAATAGTGACTATTTTTCATTGACTTCGTAAATGCTGGCTATTTTTGAATGACCAGTCCGAAAACTGGCTATACCGTGCTATTTTTATGAGGCTTTTAAGCCCGGCCCAAGGAAGTCCATGGGCCACGAGGCCCGTGGGCTTACGTATTTAATTAAAATATTTAATACAAAAAAATATTAAAAAAACTAAAAATAACAAGAAGAGTGGTCCAATATCAAACTGTTAATATTTTTTTATGTGAATTTAAATGTCTTTTGTTCTTAAAATTTTAGTTATATCTTAATGTTTTAATTAATTAACATTGTAGATAATTATAAATTTAGATGAAAATGAAGGTGTTAAGACATTTTTGTTTCACAAGAGGATTCAAACATGGGGGCCCGTGATCAATGTAGGGCTGCACTGGGCTAACCATTTTAAGGCCCACCAAAATAGTAGGCCGGCCCATCCCAGCCCGTCAAATGCCAAAGCCCGCATAGGCTAGACTGGACCGGGCACTATAAAAAACTGGAGAAATTGTGGCGGTTTAATATGCTTATAGTGGCGGTTCTTAACCGCCGTAATTGTCTTTAGTGGCGGCTTTTACACTCGCCATAATCGCTTCCGCCAAAAAGTTTAATACAACAGTTTCTTTTTAACCGCCGCAATATGCAGTTAAATTTGACGCTCTGATTGTGGCGCTTAGGAACCGTCATAATTGATGTCTTTCAAATTATAGACAGTTTATACTGCCATAATTGTAATATATTTATTGTTATTTAATTCTATATTTAGATGCTTTTTATTACACAAAAGCCATCATAATATGTAACCAAGCACCCGTCATATTAATTAACATAAATTATAGAGAATTAGATAAGCAAAATATTCATCATATTAAAACATAGGTACCCAAAATCCCATATCATCCAAGATTCAAGTTTAAGTTGGTGAGAGTTATTCACCAATTACAACACACAAAAAACATAGTTCATCCTAACAATTACAATCCAAGAAAAATATAGTTCATCCTAACAATGATTACTAATTGTCATTTGCTCCGCTTTCATCAAAGGATCTTCTTGACCTAGTTGGTGACGGGACGCTATCTCCTAAATTGGGTGCCTGCATAAAAAAAACTAATTAGTAATGACAAACTAAGTAGCCAGTACTAATTAGAACTACTCAATAAAGTTGTGGAAGCCTTCTTTCAAGGGGCCTCCTTACCCAAATTATTCACTCACACATGTATAGTTTTACTGCCTAAAGTGGAGTCTCCTCAAAAATTTTCTACCTTTACATCTGTTAGCCTTTGCAATGATTCTAGCAAGATCATTGCTAAAATGCTAAACTCTAGACATATATAGCAGAATGCTACCCAAGATTATTTGGCATAATCAAAGTGGCTTTGTCAATTAAAGAGCTATTTCTGGCAATACCCTTCTAGCTCAATCTATTCTTAATGACATAGGGATAACCCTCTTTTGTTAAATAACAGATTATACATAAAATGATATAGAAAATAAAATAGCAATCAGACTCAATTACTATTTGCTAAAGGACTACATTAAACCAATGAAAGCAGAATAAGTTACCTACTAAGGTCTGGAACATTGATCAAATGCACTTTTGGATAAGTGAATTTAGAACAGATAAGGAATAGAATTACTTGTAACATACGATAGGTGTGTCATGCGTTCTTTCCTAGTTCCTACCTAGAAGTAGCTACTGGCTGATGATTCCAGAATTCAGATTTAGGTANGAAGCGCTCAAGAGAAGGGTGTAGGGCGTTGAGCAGGGCTAGTCAGCGCCCCGAAGTACACAAAATACCGGCTGGTACAAAGCAGGTCAGGAAGCTTGACATGACAGAAGTTCGAGTCGAACCAGACTAGCAGATAGTGGGGCGATTGGTAGTTCGGGCAGTGGAAGGGCTTGGAAGGCAGCTGTAAGGGATTGAAAGCGCGTAGTCCCTCGATTCAGGGATCGGTAGCGTCTTCCTCGGTCGGTAGGTGGGCATGAATGGAGCTTCCAGGAGTTAGTGCATTGGATTCCTGGGCAACTGCATCTAGTAGAGCTGACTGAAGACCAAAGCTTGCACAGTCCGCTACTTAACAAGTTTTGTGTAATTAGTAGTATTACCTATTGTTTTAATTGATTGGTTTGGTTTGGTTAGCAAACTTTGAGTAAGGAACAACGTGTAATGTCGCTCACTTTTAAAAAAATAAGAAAAACAAAAAGAAGTTTAGCAAATTGCCTCGTCAAACATTCTTGATATAATGAAGAAACTAAATTTTTAAACACTAGGATACATTATAGTATTATACCCTTGCAAAATGCCTAACTTCACTTAAGAGTTGCTGATAGGTCATAAAGAGCTGAATTGATATATTTTAAACTGATGTAATCAGATTGTCATATAAAACCAAAGTAGACATGATGCTTTATGATAGTTGACTGACAAGAATCCTCAAAGATTTTGTTAGGAAATATGTCATAGTAAGATGGTCAATTTAGACCATAGCCATATTTCAAGAATTGAACAAGTGCGATCAACATAAGCAGTAAAAACCTGCATTTCTCATAATAAATAAAATTATCTCATAACAGATTCCATTCTAACTTTAAACATATTGTCAAATTGAATGGCAAACAAAGAAAAAATAAGCACTTAGTACCTGTGGAGGATTCGGAAATAAGTGAGCAAACTGCTCGGGATATTTCCAATTGTCATTTGAAATAAGCTAGTTACCGCATTTAATTGTGATCTCATATTTGCCATCTCTTGCACCAATTGTGAGGTGGAGCACCAGCGCTAGATGAGCCCATATAAGAACAACCACCTCGGCGTGATGTTTGCTTGAATACTACAGTTGGAACTGCACCCATGCCTAAGCCTCGAACACGACCAGGGTGTTCGGGACCGAAGAGTGCACCAAGCGCATCATTTGGTGAAATTTCTGCCAGAGTTTCTGGCCTTTGTCTTCGAATTTCTTCAATTCTTTCCTACACAAGGGACAAAATATAATTACAAAAGGAGAATCTATAAAACATTAAATAGTGCTCCAAATATGTTCAGAAGCAGACCATTCAAAGTAATCGCCCTTCTTACAAAGCTGAATCTCCAAATAAGAAGATGGTCAACAGAAATTAACCTCCCAACTTCAAAAGGTATAATCCCAGAGAACAAATTCCGTAAAAGAACCAAACTTTGCAAACCTTGAACTTTCAAATAACTCAACAGGCAAACTACCAGAAAACAAATTACTCCTTAAATTAATATCTCTAAGCTCAGATAAAGATCCAAGACTAGAAGAAACAATTAAACTGATTATTAACCCCTGGATATAATTGACTCCACATATGTATCTCACAAACAAGCGCGGTTTACAAACTCCACATGCCAAGAAAAACCTAAAAACAAAGATTGAATCTGATTGATGTTGCCAATTTCAGCCAACACTTTGTAGAAATGATCAACATCACAAGGCTGGTAGTATTTAAAAGAAATTCTGTCTACAATCTCTTTCAATTACCTGGCAGGGGAAAGAGTCAAATTTGCTCCTCAAAAACCAATTGCTGTACTTATTAAGTTATGCACAAATTATATATGTCAACAACACGAAAGACTGAAATTACAAGTGATTGTCTGTCACAATATGACTAATAGCTCCCTTCAATCTTCTACGGAGCATTTTAGATATGCACTTATATACTATATTATAACAAGAGATGGGTCTAAATTGGCTGACATTTGTTGGGACATCTACCTTTGGAATCAGATATGTTATTATGGAATTGAGTTATGTTAGTAGTTTTCCATTACTAAAGAATTCCAGGATTAATTCAGCTATATCATTTCCCGCATTAGCCCAGATTGCTCTAAAAAAATCCACTCTCATATTCATTTGGCCCTGGACTTTTGTTACTGCTAACGTTGTTGCTTTGACATCTTTAACAGTATAAAGTTGCAATAGATCTATTTGTAGTTCAACTAAAAGAATAGTACCATTCTTGAGAAAACCTTCATAAGCCTTCACCCTTGATCCTCCCTTATTACCCAGAAAGTCTACATGGTACTCCATAAATATGTCTGCTATAGTTGCAGGTTCAATCTGCTACACATTATGTTTATCATGTAACTGAGTAATAGCCTACTTTAGTTTACTGTGTTTGATTACTGAAAACAATTATTTGGTATTGTCATCCCCTCCCTTACGTAATTCTTTACTCCTAAAAGTGGTGATAATCACAACAACATACATGGACTATTCTTTCTGGACAAGTTTCAGAAGTGATAATCAGAACAGACAGATGTCATCCCCTCCCCTTTCAACATTCTTCAAAATATAACAAATAAGCACATTCCTATTGCACTCTTTTCGGTAAAGTACAACGAGTTACAGATGAGCTGAACAAATATGGTAGGGCCATAAATGTGAACTTCTCCTTATGTAGTAATTTTGTACTTCTAATTCGACATGATCCTACGTTCTTTATAGCTTTAATACAGTAATTTTTCAGTGCAGGTAAAAATGTTGAAGGTCTCATAGACAAATTCTCCAAAACTGCTGGGATATAAGAAAGTCTAGTTAATTTTAAGCAGTATCAGAAAGAGAAATACCAGATTAATTTACTGCATTTTCTTTATATCAGGATTGCGGCAGAGTGAACAATGACGGCATATAATCAGGAATTTGATAACCACAAGCCATCAATTCAAATTGTGAGGTCATCACTTGTTTTAAAATAAAATTCTGCGTTCTGAGGCACTAAAAACCTCTTTTAGCATCACCTCAACTTGCGTACGTAGTCCGGACGCGTAGCCGGAAAGCTTATATGTGAAAATTTGTGAAAAATGATAAATTTTGACTATAAAATGAATTAATTTGAGTTCGGTCAATGTTTTGGGTAAACGGCCCCGGACCGGTGATTTGACGGCCCCGGAGCGTCCGTCGAAAAATATGAGACTTGGGCGTATGCCCGGAATCGAATTCCGAGGTCCCAAGGCCGAGAAATGATTTTTTTTAAAAAACATATTTTCTGAAATTGTTTAAAGAATTTGGAAATGAATTTTGATTAGAACATGTTGGTATCGGGCCTGTATTTTGGTTTCGGCGCCCGGTACAGGTCTTATATGTGATTTAAGATAATTCTGTGAAGTTTGGTGAGAAACGAAATCCGTTTGACGTGATTCGGACCTTAAATGCAAAATTTGATGTTCAAAAATGTTTTGAGAAATTTCATTGATATTGAGGTTTAATTCGATGTTTCTGATGTTATTTTGGTGATATGAGTATACGAATAAGTCCGTGGGATATTTTTGTGGTTATGTGTACATTTGGTATAGAGCCCCGAGAGCTCGGGTGAGTTTTGGATAGGTCACAGGGTACATTTTGAACATAGAAAGTTGCAGATTTTAGCTGGTGTGTCCAGGCCTACAGGCTTCGTGTCACGACCCCAGTTCGCCCTCCATGAACTATCGTGACAGCACCTAGCCTATATGACTAGGTAATCCTAACAAATGCAGAAAATGAACTAACTTGTGGAATAAGTAATCAAAAGCCGAAAATAACTGAAGGAAATAATATTTAAATGCCACTCGGCATATACACATAACTTCTCGAAATCTGATACACTATCCCAAAACTCGGAAACTCAAGGATCCACAAGCTGAGAAAAACACTATATAGCTCTAATCTCCAAAATGTCTAACAAGAACAAGGTACAGAAGGGCTAAATTCTAAAATGCAGGAATAGAAAAAAACTCCTCAGTCTGCGGATGCGGCAGATATACCTCGAAGTCCCATAGAATCGCCTCGCCTCAAGAATGGAAATCCTGAGTAGAGGTACCTGGATCTGCACATGAAAAACATGCGCAGAAAGGGCATGAAAATACACCACAGCGATACTCAGTAAGTACCAAGCCTAACCTCGGTCGAGTAGTGACGAGGAAGGTCAGGGCTCTACTGAGGTTAAATAAAATATAAGGGTTAACAGTGTGAGATAAAACAATATAATTAAGTGCAACAATAAGAAATAGCATAGAATTGAAAGAACAACGACAACTAGAGCAGAGACAAATAAACCACAGAAGAAATACAACTCAACACATAGATCACAACCGGGGCACCTTCCAGGATACCGTTCTGTAGTCCCAATTACAACTATCCAGTGGATCTCCTGGGATACCGTCCCGTAGTCCATCATATATATGTCCGAAGGATCTCCCGGGATCCCGTCCCGTAGTCCAACTATCAATGTGCGGTAGGAATTTACCGGAATCCCGATCCATAGTCCCAAATATAAATACCCAGTACTAGGGGAATCTATCGGGTGCATTCCCGTAGTTCCATATAACTGTACAAGGGGATCTACCGGGAATCTAACACGTAGTCCCAAAGTAAATGTGCAGGGGGATCTACGGGGAATCTAACCCATAGTCCCAAAATAAACAGACAAGGGGGAGCTACCGGAATCCCACATCCGTAGTCCCAATGTAAATACACAGCAACAACAAGAAATATTCAGAGAAAGGAAATTTCATATTAAGGTAACAAATAATTCTAGCCTAGCATGCTGCACAGAGTTCAGGTAAACAGATTGAGAAACTAAAGCAAATAAATCATTTAGACATGCTTTCCTAAGCTAACAACAGGCTTAATAGTACAAGTAATAAAAACAGGAGAAGAAACATACTAATAAGTACTTATAGAAAATCGGATTTCCAACAATTTGCACAAGCACACACTCGTCACCTCACGTACATGGCATTTCAATTACCAAATATATCAATCCTAAGGGGAAGGTCCCCCACACAAGGTTAGACAAACCACTTACCTCGAACCGGCTCAAAATCAACCCCAGACCATGTTCTTGCCACGAGTACTGGACTCCAAATGGACTAAATCTATTCAATTCAATTTCATAATGTAAATAACACTTCAAACAACTGATTCTACAATTAAATTCTAAGCTAATACACAAAATTAGGTAAAATGACCAAAACGCCCCTCAGGACCACATCTCGGAATCAGGCAAAATTTACATTTTCAGAAACTTCGTACTCTCATGAGTCTATATATAACAAGAACACTAAAATCGGAGTCCAAATGACCCCTCAAATCCTCATTTAAAGGTCTCTTAAACTCAAGCCCTAATTATCCATTTTTCCCAAATATTTCACCACTAATTAGGTCCTTAATCACATAAAAAACGAGTTATGAAGTCAAAAATGTTACTTCAAAGTGATTCCCCTTGAATCCCTCTTCCACCCTCTTCAAAAAAGTTTTAAAATCGCCTAACAATGGAGGAACCTAGGCTAAAATTCGCGAAATAAACCTTTTAAAACATTTTGCCCAGGCATTTAATTCCTTCTACGTGAACGCGATCAAACCCTCGCGTTCGCGAAGCACAAAAATGACGTTGACTAAAAGTCCTCTTACGCGAACGTGACAAGGCCCTCGCGATCGCGATGCTTTACCCGGCTAACCTCCGCGAACGCGTTCCTCTCGTGATAGTAAATTCTACTGGGCCAAATTTCCTCCTTCGCGAACGCGAAGCCCAATCGCAAACGCGGTTCACAAGTATCCAGCCCTTCGCGAACGCAAAGGCTTAACATTTACCTTCCTCAACTAACTCTTCGCGAACGCGAGGGTCCACTCGCAAACACGAAGGTTAAAATTCCTCTGCAACAACTGAACAAAATCTGCAACTTTTTAACAACTAAAAATGATCCATTGAGCATCCGAATCACACCCGAGGCTGCCGGAACCTCAACCAAAGGCACTAACATATCCTAAAACCTTATTAAAACTTGTACAAATCTTCAAAACACCTCAAACGACATCAAATCAACCAAAATACATCAGATTCAAGCCTAAGCTTTCCAAAATCTTCCGAATTACGTTTTGATCAAAAACCCAACCAAACCACCTCTGAATGACCTGAAATCACACATCCCAAATGACCTAACGGAACTA